TGTCCAAGGCCAGGCTGGATGAGGCTTGGAGAAACCTGGTCTAGTGGAAGGTGTCCCTGCCCATGGCAGGGGGGTTGGAACTGGATCATCTTTAAGGTCCCTTTTAGCCCAAACCATTCCGTTATTCTAGGTTTTTGTAATGCAGTAGCTGGCCTGGGGTTGCTTTGCTGCTTTCTCGTTTTACAGCAGTATAAATTCTATCAAGTGATGGGCTAAGGTGTGGGTTTTTTCTGTGACCAGATTAGTGGACGTGAAGTCTTTGAGTTCCGACCGGAGTTGGTTGATGCAGACGACGAAGAGGCAGATGACACCCATTACATTCAAGGAACGGGAGAAGATGACGAGGTAAAGGACAGGATTAACTTGAGTGATGTTTCAAGTTAGAAAACTTTGGAGAGCTCTTGCAGAGCAGTTAATAAGCTTGGTTCTTCATTCAACACAACTGCAGAGTCTTTTCTGTTAAAAATCTGATGTCAAGATGAAGAACAATTAGAGATCCGTCATTAATGAGCATTTCTATTGAAAATAAACTCACGCAGAGCATCTTGGGCTTTGCTGTTTGTTTGTTTAGCTGGAAGACCCCGTGTGCATAAATGATGTGGATTTGAACCTGTATGTCCCGAAGGCCGTGGAGGAGACGGGTATCACCGTGGCTAGTCCTGAGCGATTCAGCACGTACAGTTCAGTAGAGAAGGATGGTGAGTTGGGATATTCGGGCACCGCTAACCCGGGACTGCGTCGGTCGAGTCCTCCCCAGTGGTAGATAGATGTGAATTACTGGTGTGCTGAAAAGGAGGATTTGTTTTACAAGGGCAGGGGGGTGAAATTACTATCAGTGATACGTGTCATTACTGAAGAAAAAGCTTGAATTAGATGCTCTGCTCTCTTCTTCGTGAATTTAAGCTTAAATAAGAGGCGGTGTTTATGCCCACGTCAGGTAAATCCTGAAGAGGTCCGTTTTAGCGGTTTGCCTTTGTTCAGATTTAGTGAGTGACTGAATCAGGTGAACAAAAGCTCAACCTTTTCTTCCCATTTTGTGGCTAGCTTAGGTTGGCTTGTGACTTCTTAGAGCGCAGCCTCGGTGTTGGCTGCTGGCAAGCACGCCCTGACATTTAATACCTGGAGTCTCATAAAGGCCGCTCCTTGGGTTTGACCCAGTCCTGAAAACAGGAGTTGGGAGTGCGAGTTACCTTTTTCAACCTCTCTTAATAACTGATGATCCAAACCCGCCTATTAATCGGATCTGTGCAATCGAACCAACTTAAGACTTTATTTGAAGCTGATCAAGAAAGTTCTCTGCAGCTTCAGAGCTTTAAAGCTTGTTGTGAAGTGATGGCTAAAACTCGTGACACTGGAGTGTGTAAGAATTGTTTTTGCTTTCAGATAATAAGTTAAGTGAAGCTTCTGGTGGTGATATCAACAGCTGTAAGCAAAATGATTCGGAGGAGGATAACGATGGAGATGAAGAGCTGGAGAACGGAGTGATCGATGCAGTTCCAGTGGATGAAAATCTCTTTACCGGGGAGGACTTGGATGAACTAGAAGAAGAACTGAACACTCTTGATTTAGAAGAATGAATAAAAAGCTCAAGTGAGAAGTTACATCTGTGTGACAGAGTGAAAACTGACTACGTTGTTTTTTTTCCTTCTTTTTGAATAGAAAGCTGAAAAAGGATGTTTATGGTTACCCAGCTGATTCTGGTGGGCACAGCATACACCAGGAACGCTCTCCTTCAATCTCATCTACCGAAACCTTGGCCACGCTCACGGTAAAACACTCGGAGCGGCTCAGAATTACCCGGCGGCCCTCTGCGGCGAGTGTAGCTGTCAGCTAAAAGTCGGAGGGGCGGGCGCCTTGCCAGCACGCAGGTACGAGCGGGCAGTTTGGGACCGGGTACGGCAGAGGAAGCCAGGCATCCCGCCTTCACCGCGGCGGCGTTTCCGCCAGAGCCTCTGGAGGTGGAAGCCGCCCCCGGGGTGCTCTAGCGGAGCCGGGGCGGATCGCGCTTCTCCGCGTGGCGATTCGCTTCGCGTGATTCTGGAGGTGGTGAGCTGGTAACGTCGCGCGGTGCCCTCCGTTGAAAATGTTGGAAACTCCC